GCGTGAGACTTTCGTATAACTAACATGCAATTTCTCGCTGAGTTCCCTAGACGTAGTGGCAGGGTTTACTGTAACAACAGCTTCCAAATCCTTTGGATTGCCTCCTTGGTTCATCCCCTTGATTAAAACTCCCAATTTTCATAATTGGAAAACCACCTTCCGCAGCCTCTTGCTTTATTATTTTGTTTAATTTATAATTGTTTTGCCTATTTTTCTTTGGTTCTAATTTTACTATTTCAAATAAATATTCTCTGATTTTGCTTATGGAGATTTATTTAGTCTGTTTGATCATGTTTATAGAACCGTAGTAATATATTTCGTGTCTCCATCTGAAAATGAGCTAAGGTCTTTTTATGAAGAAATTGCTGGTCGTAAATGGAAAGCTTAATAACGCAAACGTATGCTCAAAAATTTAAATGTTCATATTTCGTATTGACAATATTAAGAAGGGCTTTCCAGTGTGATACAGGAAATGAAAAGTCACACCTTGCTCATGGAACTATTATTAGTAACCACAACAACAAGGAGTTATCCAGCTTCTTGAAAATAGACAGGTCTTTCGTGTTTAATATAAGCAACGGGATGTGTATCCCTGACAGTTACGTGGCCAAGACAGAAGAGACATCCCGTAGTTTCAAGATATCATTAATCACGAATATCGGAAGTCGATGTTGGCCATTTCTGCAGCTGAAGTTGGTGGGTTCCATGATTAGTGATCTATGGTGCAGGGTATCAGGTACAAATATTGCGTGAGAAGTAAGGATCATGTCTGACAAGTCCAGGGAGAACCGAGTTATCCGAAACGAAGCGCTTGCTGAGTAACCCGTGGCGAACTACATGCTATTGTTCATCGATGAGAAGAACTTCAACCAGGACCAGAAGGCATGCACAGTAAGTAACTCTGTGCATACACCATGGTGTCCACATTCGTGCACACCAAGTTATTATCGTTTGAAGTGATTCGTGTTTTCGTGAGGAAAGAGAGCATGCTCATAGTGACAGACTCTCTCAAGTCTTTTTAGCGACAAACGAATAAAGACGTATATTTTTCTTTCATCGTAGAGATATACGATTATGCTCAATAAAATGGTGACAGTTACTAGGAGTGGACCCTATTTAACATACTTCAAATTCCGGCCTATTCCGTCTCGTCTCTTCTTATTCGTAGACAAGAATGATTCCATCAACCGTTTTCGTCGCCCATGGATTAAAGACAATCGAATCACTCTATTTACATTATTCAGACTATTGTTGTCATCTTTGTCGCCATATTTATTACAACGTTTCGGCCGTTGTACGTTCCGGCCTTCTTCAGTTGGTTGGAAAGTCGAACTGAACCATTTATTTCGCTCACTGGTGTAGACTGTTCTAGTTCCACGTGCCATGTCTAATGGATGCCAGTTATCAGCTATCTCCTGTCAATTCTCCTCTCAAAGTTGTCTTCAAGGATACATGGCACAGTGGATAAAGGCATTAGTTAGATCCAGTGACAGGACCCAAAGAGTATGAGTTCAATACCTGGTTAGGGCGGTGGAGAACTTAACAGGAGATAACTGATAACGGACATCCATTAGACATGGCATGTGGAACTAGAATCTACCCCAGTGAACGAAATAAAGGATTCAGTTCGACATTCCAACCACCTGAAGAAGGACGGAGCGTACAACGGCCGAAACATTGTAATAAATATGGCGACAAAGATGAGTACAATATTCCGAGTAATGTAAATAGTGTACGTAATACTTCATCTCAGAAATAAAGACAAATGATTCAGTTCGACGCTCCAACCACTTGAAGGAGGCCGGAGCGTACAACGGCCGAAATGTTGTAATAAATATGACGACAAAGATGATGACAATAGTCCGAATAATGTAAATAGTGTATATAATACCTCATCTCAGAAATAAAGACAGATGTTCAGTTCGACATTACAACCACCTGAAGAAGGACGGAGCGTACAACGACCGAAACGTTGTAATAAATATGGCGACAATGATGAGGACAATAAATTTACGAATAATGTAAATAGTGTACATAATACCTCATCTAAGAAATATAGGCAGATAATGGAATCACTTTTCGATCACTCAAATTTTACTGCATGTCTGCGAAGTAACCAAGCAGTCAACCGTTATCTATACTACATATTTCCATAATCGTAATCATTTTCCTACCCACGTAATATAATTTTCATGTGTCTTTTCTTTAAATAATTTATGTCGTCATTGTTCGGATAAGGTTTCTTTTCTGGTACCTCATCTTTACGAATTTAAGCGGATTACTAGGATGACAGCTTGTTCACATCATATTGAAGTTGAAATTGCTAGATATGACCGTAAGTTCGATGCAAAGAGTTTCTTCCTGCATCTTGCTTCTCAGTCAACCTTGATCTTCAAAAATTTAAATGCCGTATCAGTTTTTATCGTCTGTCTTCTTAATTCCTGTTTTATTGTCCTCTCTCCGTAATAATGTTTTTCTTATTTTGATATTTTTCACACTCAGAAATCCCTTGCATCTTAGAGGCTTTATTGTCTTGAAATGAAAATCTTAAAGAAAACTGCACTTCCTACTTCCACCACTTATATCCATAAAATAACTCATTCAATAACACTCTACCTTGAGTGGCTATTGGGCCTTATATTCAGTGAACAATAGTATGAAAAGGTGTAACTAGGAAAAAAAAAAAACATTTAAATAGATATATCCATTTAAAAATAGTTAAACATGGTTAAACTTGCCCGCAATAAGACGTAGTATCAAAAGGACGTTTTTCCCATGACACCTCTTTTTTCCCATGACACCGCTTTTTAACTACCTTCATTCTTCCGCAATGCTTATTGTTTCAAAAACGTTTATAAGAATTGGAATAAAAACTAAAAAATAATGAAAATGAATTTATATTTATTTTGTTCTTGAGAATTTACATATTAAATACTATTTATTTATTCGATTATTTACAGGATTTATTTTATATTTACAACATTCTAAAACCTAATACATTTAGAACTAATGCAATGCAATTTTATCATTTACCAATTTATAAAGAAATAAATATGAAACCAATTTTTATTCATAAATATATAAACATTAACTAAATTAAGAAAATATGTGAACCAACTACAAAAAATTCTTATTATTTACCATTTTATAAAGTTCGAATCAATTGGCAATTAACAGATGTTTGCCATCCATTCCAATGAACAATGTGTTTATTATTTTCAATTCTAAAGAACAGGAAAGTATAAGTTCTCTTCCATATGTTTAGGTTTTATTACAAATCGAATCATTGATTTTTTTTTAAAACAATAAGCATTCATGAGGAGTGAAGGTAGTTAAAATAATAGCGGTGTCACGGGAAAAAAACCGCCTATTCCACACTCCATTTATTTTAGAAGCGAACACAACTTACGCACAACATGTTTCCATCTTCTTTGACTTGTCTTGTGATAATTGAATCAATGCCGCCTTCTTTTGTGGACCTTTGCTTTTGCCGTAATACGCCATCCACTAACTCGAAAGTTGACTAGACGTAAAAGAAAACATCAAAACGAGTTTAAATGGAAAATAAACGCTTAAAAATGAAAAAAAAAATGTTATTATATCGCTTTCATATATACGGGTTTTTATAATTTTTTTGCAAGGTTATATGTGAATGTGCAGCAAGGAGTTTAACAGATTTTCTTGTATATTTTAATATCCTTTTAGTTCTTTTGGCGATCATGGCTCTCCACAATTTCCTATCCTTTGTAGTTCTTAAGAAATGTTCTCTTTGTTATCCTTCCTAAACCAACCATTTACGTTAGGTAGGTAGATTATTCACTGCTTTCTTTCTCCCTTCCTTCAATGTGTCTTGTGAGTAACACATTTTCTAAGCTTTCTTTCTTCATTGTACTTTTCTAGAGATTTCAATTGGCTCTTCTGATGTTAAGTATAAGGGCTTTTTTATTTCCATTTTCTCTAAAACTTCGTCGTTGCTCACATGTCCATGGTCCTCAGCATCTTTCTTTAGAACCATAGAATGAGAAATAGGAGGCTATTAGAGTCCTAACCGAGTTTATTAGCTTCACTTACGCGCAAATGTTCTTGTTAAAAGTATAGATCCAAAAATTCTCCCCAGCTATGGGTTAAATATTAAAACGAATATCTGTAAAAATCATCGACTTAAAGACATGCTATAAAACCGTAAAAATCAAATCAATCAATAATCAGTGGCAAGATTATTTGAAAACTTACGTTTAATTACATGCATATAAAAACTTACATGCCCCGTACATATAATCATATATTTGGCATGTGGGGATACAGAGATAAATAGATAAAAATAAATAAGAAAACGAAAATTTTACCATCAAAAAATTGGACGTATAATAAAAATCGCCATGCAAAAAAGCCATATTTCGACCACCGATCGGAAGGCTTTCATCACAATGGTGTAAGAAAAGAAACAAATAATAACAAAGAAACCAAAATGTCGCCCTTTTTAAAAAAAAATACATAATTCGACCAACCAATCAGAAATCTTTCACAACCCGGATATAAGGCTGCGAGCCAATCAGAAGCTAAAAGTCTTTTCAAAGTGGATCTATAGATATGTATGTAAAAATTAGAACCAACAAATTAATTTTGCTCATTATCCGTTGCGGCCGTCATCGTAACATACCCAGAGACGAAATACGACATTGGCACGAATAAATGGTGATGTTAGACGTCTAAAACTTTCCTTGCTACATTGAAGGCAATCATATTTTCCTTTGCCATGTGATCAAGCGGTGGCTACTACATTTGTATATAAACATACATATATATATATATATATATATATATACTTCCTTTCGGACTCTATCCTTCTCTCTCTTTCTCGTATACGCCAGGGTTTTAGACATTGAACTTTCACGTTAACATTCTGTATTATTATATTGTGTATAGAAAGATTTATTTAGTATTTTTCAACACATTGTGCAATTGATGTAATTATTAAACAAATCCAAATCTATTATAACTTATATATGGATGTAATGAACGTTGTCACGTGATAAGAGAGAGAGTGTGAAAGAAGACTGACAGAGGGAAGAGAGACAGTGAGAGAGGTAGTGAGAGAAGAGAGAGGGAGTAAGGGAGAGTGAGACAGAGAGAAGAGAGAATGAGAAAATTATACAGAGAGAGAAAAAGAAGAGTGAGAGAGAGAAGAGAGAGTAAGAGAGAGTAGAGAGAGAGAGTGTGTCAGAGAGAAGAGAGACAGTGAGAGATAGTGAGAGAAGAGAGAGAGTAAGAGAGAGTGAGACAGAGAGAAGAGAGAATGAGAGAGAGAGAAAAGTGAGAGAAAGAGTGAGGGAGAGAGAAGAGAGAGAAGAGAGAGATACAAAGAGAGAAAGAAGAGTAAGAGAGAGAAGAGAGACAGTGAGAGAGATGGCGAGAGAGGGAAGAGAGAGAGAGAGAGAGAGAGTGAGGTCAGAGAGAAGAGAGACAGGAGAGATAGTGAGAGAAGAGAGAGAGTAAGAGAGAGGAGACAGAGAGAAGAGAGAATGAGAGAGAGAGAAAAGAGAGAAAGAGGAGGGAGAGAGAAGAGAGAGACAAAGAGAGAAAGAAGAGTAAGTGAGAGAAGAGAGACAGTGAGAGAGATAGTGAGAGAGGGAAGAGAGAAGAGAGAGAGAGAGGGGTGAGAGAGAGAAGAGAGACAGGAGAGATAGTGAGAGAAGAGAGAGAGTAAGAGAGAGGAGACAGAGAGAAGAGAGAATGAGAGAGAGAAAAGTGAGAGAAAGAGGAGGGGAGAGAGAAGAGAGAGAAGAGAGAGATACAAAGAGAGAAAGAAGAGTAAGAGAGAGAAGAGAGACAGTGAGAGAGATAGTGAGAGAGGGAAGAGAGAGTAAGAGAGAGAAGAGAGAGAGTGAGACAAAGAGAAGATAGAATGAGAGAGATAGAAAAGAGAGAGAGAGAGTGAGTGAGAATAAAAAAGTGAGTAATATGCTGAAAACCAAGTACCTTATATTCAGGGAGGTGAAAAAGCATAGTAAGAGACTCAAGTATCGTGCTTCCCACAAACACGCGCGTGCGTACACCCACACATACACGCACGCGCACACACGCACGCGCACACACATACACAAACACGCACACGCGCGTGCACACGCACACACATATATATGTAATAAAAATAATAATGAGAATAGCAGCGTATACCAAAAACTACCACCCAAACAATCCCAGTGCTCAGTATAATTTAATATATATTACAGAGCAATAGAAAATTAATAATATATAAATTAAAACTGGTTTTAATTACCTTCTATTTATTATTGATATATGTTATGGCAATTTACCCGCGCACCCATGGACTCTCCCAGCTATAAATAGGAGCAGGTACTGCCTTTTGGAAGGGAAAGTTTCCAGCAGTCAGCTCTAACAGTCTGGCGGATCATTCTTGCTGTAACTCTCTCGTTTATATATGTTTGTGTTACTGTTTCTGTTCATATATTTGTTTAACTCAGTTCCTCTCTTCGTGTCTTTATTTCTGGGGCCCCAACAAGGCCCCAGCAGTATATATATATATATATATATGCAATAATGTGCATTCAGGCAGCAACCTTTCTTTCAAGCATCTTCCATTGAAAATGGTCGACAAGGTAGATTTAATTAATCTTTTATTGGTTTTTCTAGCATTCTAACATTTTCCCGTTTTTTAGGGCTTAAAGGATATAGGAATTATCCACAATTGTTCCGTGCGCTTTCGTATAGTTCTATAGCAATTATCAGAGATTTCGTTTTGGATGGTGAATTTCCGTGTGTTAACTTATACATGATAGTTTAGCTGTGTGGAGTACGTGCAGGGTGGGGGGTATGCTTTTTTAGCAGTCACCGGCACCATTTCTATTCTTAGAAAACCATTATCACGCTGTCTCTATTGCTAAAATTGTAAGATTGACAGCAGAGGAACGTTATTTAATAATTAATACTTCACTAATGATAAATTATCTCCGACTATGTGATTTGAAAAGAATCTTTTTGTTATCGACTAGAATTTTCCTTCAAGGTTCTTGTAACTTATAAGCTGATAAACGTTTATTGATTGCACACTGCTTCGAGGGGTGGCATGTAAGGCGTCTACTTAAGGAGGTTGTGGTGTGACTGATATAGGCAATTGATTTTTGACAAGTAACGCAGTCTTGTAGTTGGCATTGAAATTAATACACTATATTGGTCAGGGCTATTTTAAATTTGGTGTGGTTATTTCGGTTGGTGACGACGAGGTTTGAGGTCTTCCAATTTCTATAATATATTATGAACTTCATATGTTTTCCAGGGGTTAAAGCAGAAATATGTTGTTTAATAATTTTCCTTATAGAAAATTCATTCGGCATATAATTAATGTGCATCTGGCTGCAATAAAAAATATTGATGTTTTGTGGTGTTGTATTTTTGTTACAGGTGTCGTGTTTTTTTTGTAAGAATAATTTTGTTTTCTTATCAATGATGTAGTTTGGAAAATTACTGTTGGCTAGTGTTTGTTTAATGTGTTTCAGTTCGAATAGAAATTATTTTTTGGGAGGAGGAATTTTGTTGTGTTCAATTTACGAATTTTGTTATAAATGCTATTTTATATCTTTCTGGGTATTGACTATCATAGTTTATTAAAAGGAAGGGTTCGTACTAGCGTCTTTTTATATGGGTAACTGTTAAATTCATTGGATTTATATATATATATATATATATATATATATATATATATATATATATATATATATAAACGGTTAATGGTCAGATTTGAACCAGCCCAAGGAACAGTAGTATTAAAAATGCTCAATACATGTGTGAAAAAATATAAAATAAAAGTAAAAATTAAATGTAGAACTTTTAGCTTTAAAAAAACAGGGGGGGTCAGTTGAATCCGCAAACTTGATTTCAACCTTACGGTATCCTCAGGCGATTTTTATATCATGACTCCTTAAGACTTATATATATATATATTTTTTAAAACTAAAGTACGTTATTATTTTAAAAAATAAATAAACAAACGTGTATATATATATATATATATATATATATATATATATATATATATATATATATATATATATGCAAGTATAGGATTCGTGTATACGGAATAAATTCCAATAACTAAAAATACTATTCTTAAAAGAGTGCTCAATTCAGAGTAGAGCAATATAATTTATTCGAAAATTATAACATAAATATGTTATAAAATCACTACAAAAATAGCCATTTTGTTTCAACACTTCTGGTGTCTTATCAAGTGATGGTGTTGAACCTCACCACTTGATAAGTCACCAGAAGTGTTGAAACAAAATAGCTATTTTTGTAGTGATTTTATAACATATTTATGTTACAATTTTCGAATAATTGTATATATATATATATATATATATATATATATATATTCTTTACTTTTAGTTATTTTTCATGTTTATTGAACAGAAGTAGATGTTTATCCTTTGATTTCTGTTTAGGATATGGTTTAACGGTTCTTTCTTACATGGTCATAATAATTTAACTGTCTTAATATTATTGTGATCTGACTGACCAATGCTTGCGACTTTTCATTATGACGGTACCATTATGGCAGATTTCTGTTTTCTGCGTTCCGACTATGATCGAACCCTATGCCCGATTATGCTCGAACCCTATGGCTGAGTAAGCCCGAACTCTTTAATACTGCCGATGAAGGCTCCCCTGATCAATAGTCGCATAATATCTCCGTATTTTTCGTGCTATGTCGCAATGAATAGGTATTACTTGTGGGCAACCCTAAGGATATATACTTTAGATTTTGCAAGCATTTATTGCCATAGACGAGAGATATTGATAATTATTTTGACTTTTTCTTCTTAAAATCTTAACATAACAGATACAATAAAAAGAAATACGTGTAAATTAGTAAATAAAAATCACCTACTGCCTTCAACAAGTACTAGAGGCTCTAAATAATTCTGAATTGGGAAAGCAGATCACCTTACAGGCTTATCTTTCAGATAAGCAATACGGCTTTCGTTTCTCTAGCTAAACTACTGATGTGTTAGCGATTGTTGGTGCAAGAGTCCACCAATATTTCGATAAGAATAGTGAAGATCATGCTGTTGCTTTGGATATCTTGAAAGCTGTTGACAGGATTGGTCTTCTTCCCAAATTGAAATATGGTATTTTTGAACTGACTCAAATGAAAGTTGTCTTGAATGGCCACTCTTCTAAATCTTTTTCCATAAATGCAGATGCTCTCCAGGGCTATATACTTGTACATACTTTTACCATAATTTTCATCAATGTCCTTCCTGATATCATCAGTTCTCAGCTTGGTATCTCTGCTCTGCTGATGGTACACTGACTTACTTCTGTCTTGAAGTTGGCAGCTGATCTCAAAAATGACCTACAATCTTTTGTTAAATTTTTAATCATTTCAACCCAAGCAGGGGAATAAAGCCACTGAGGCGGAATGGGGTTACTGAGTGTGAGAGAATAAGAGAAAAAACATTAAAGAGAGTGAGAACAATAGAATTAAGACGGAAGATTACGATTGGCATTGCAATTAATTTTTGAAGAACAAAGTTGACTAGAGAGCAAGAATCCTACAAGCGAGAAGAAATGTGAGAGAAGAAAATGTTAGCATAGAACTTACGGTTACATCTGGCTATTTCAACAGTAAAATTTCTATTTTGTCGTCAAACTAACACTGCGCTTAAATTAAAAAAATATCTCGGCACAATAATGCCTCCGAGAAAGTGAACCAAATTTCCTAGCAGCAAACATAGCAATTGATTCAACAGAATCTTTTCACTTCATGTCAGTGAAAAAACATTAGCCCAAGGACTCGCTCACCTGAAGGTTAGCATCAGCCATACTGACAAAAGGCAAAAAAATGTTTTTTCTCGGATGATTAAAAGAGCAATTTTGTTTTAGAGGTACTAAAATTAACAAGCCATTTCTTGCTTCAGTCAACAACCTATTGTAGATCATTTTTTTTTAGATCAGTTGCCAATTTAACCTCAACAAATCGATGAAAATTACCATTGTCTTCAGCATAGATAACAAGTTGAAAACTGATGCCACCAGGAAGGTTATTGATAAAAATTAGAAGTAATGTAGATTCAAGGACAGTGCATTGAGGAATGCAAAATGATCTAGAAGAGTGGCTGTTCAAGATAACTTACATTTTGTGATTTGTTAAAAAAAGACTGAATCAGTTCAAAAATATGCCCAGAAATACCATAAGCATTCAACTTGCGAAGAAGACTGGTATACCAAAGCCTGTCAAAAATGCCTTCAAGATATCCAAACAGCCTGAGCTTCATCATATTTATCAAAAGCTTGATAGACTATTTCAGCAATAATCATTAATACACCAACAGCTGACCTAGAGATTGCTTATCTGAGAGAAGACCATGTGAGGTGAGATGCTTTTACCAATTCAGAGTTGATTAGAGACTCTAATAGAAGTAGAAGGCTAATAGGATGATAGAAAGATTAGACTGTTCACCTGAGTTCTTAAAGATAAACTAAAGAAGATTTTCAACAAGGAGGAAAGCAAGAAGCAGCAAGGCATTTAATGTAGAATTTAGAGAGAACAGGAGCAAGTTCAGGAGCATATTTCTTAAGAATTATTGCAGGGATATCCTCAAGTAATGGAGAATTTATTTCAAATATGAATATCCACTATAATAATGTTTGAAGAAATCATGCACACACATACACTATGAAAAAATGAAAAGTGCATATAAAAAAGAAAAAAGAGAATTATGTGCAGTCAATTGCTGACACCCGCAGACAAGTAAACGTTGCTGGAGTATGCCAAACTGTGCTGAATTCCTTCAAGATGTTCAAAGCAACATCCGAAGCTTCACCATTCTTATCGAAAGCTTGATAGACTCTTTCAGGAATAATTGTTAATACATCAGTAGTTGACCTAGAGCAGCGAAATTCATATTGCTCAACTTAAAAAAGAATCTTATTTATTTTTA